CTATTCAGTGTCTCTTGTAGTTCCATATAAATTTTAGATTTTTTTCCTATTTCTGTGAAAAGTGTCATTGTAATTTTGATAGGGATTGCATTCAATCTGTAGATTACCTTGGGTAGAATGGCCATTTTAACATTATTAATTCTTCCAATCAATGAACATGGGATATCTTCCCATTTAGTTGTCTTTGATTGCTTTCACCAATGTTTTATAGTTTTCAGTGTTCAGATCTCTCACTTCCTTGGTTACATTTATTCTTAAGTATTTTATTCTTTTTGTTGCTATTGTCAAGCAGATTGTTTTATTAATGTCTTTTCCAGATCATTTGTTAGTGTGTAGAAATGCAAAACTGATTTTTGTATGTTGATTTTGTATTCTTAAACTTTACTGAATTCACTTACTAGTTTTTACAGTTTGTTTTGAAACAGCCTTTCAAGTTTTTTTTTTTTTTAAGATTTTATTTATTTGACAGAGAGACACAGCGAGAGAAGGAACACAAGCAGGGGGAGTGGGAGAGGGAGAAGCAGGCTTCCCACGGAGCAGGGAGCCCGATGCGGGGCTCGACCCCAGGACCCTGGGATCATGACCTGAGCCGAAGGCAGACGCTTAACGACTGAGCCACCCAGGCGCCCCTTTTTCTTTTTTTTTTTTTTTTAAGATTTTATTTATTTGACAGAGAGAGATAGCGAGAGCAGGAACACAAGCAGGGGGAGTGGGAGAGGGAGAAGCAGGCCTCCCGCGGAGCAGGGAGCTGATGCAGGGCTCGATCCCAGGGCCCTGGGATCATGACCCGAGCCGAAGGCAGACATTTAATGACTGAGCCACTGAGGCACCCCAGCCTTTCAAGTTTTCTACATATAAGATCAGTTCATCTGCAGACAGAGACATTATTTCTTCCTTTCCATTTTGGATGCCTTTCAATTCTTTTTCTCACTTAATTGCTCTGGCTAGGACTTCCAGTACTATGCTGAATAAAAGTGGAGAGAATGGGCACCCTTGTTTATAATCTTAAAGGAAAAGATTTTGGCTTTTCAACGTTGAGTATCATGTTAGCTATGTGCTTTTCGTATATGCCTTTTATTATGTTAAGGTATACTCCTCTACTCAATGTTACAAACTTTTTATCATAAAAGGATGTTGAAGTTTGTAAAATGCTTTCTGCATTTATTGAGATGATCATATGATTTTTATCCTTTGTTAATGTGGAGTATTACATTTTGCATAAGTTGAGTCATCCTTGTATCCCAGGGATAAATCCAATTTAATCATAGTGTAAAACTTTTAAGGTGCTGCTGAATGTGGTTTGCTAGCATTTCTTTGAGGATTTTTGCATTTATTTTTATGTCTCCAAATATTTAGAGAAAGTTCTGCCTCAATTGTTGAAATGCTATATTGTACACCCAAAACTAGTACAACACTGTATGTTAACTACACTGGAATTAAAATTTTCAAAAATTGAGAAAAAAGAGAAAGTTCTATCTGGAAGTAGAAGACAGAAGTGGGTGTTTGTTACCAGCAGTGTTGGATTGTGAGGGGTTTATTCTTGCCAGCTTCAACCGTACTCAAGGGGCAAAAACTAAGGCCTGACCTCAATTGTGGAGTTAATTTTAGAAAATATGATTTGAGGGGCGCCTGGGTGGCTCAGTCATTGAGCATCTGCCTTCAGCTCGGATCATGATCCTGGAGTCCTGGGATCGGGTCCACATCGGGCTCCCTGCTCTGCAGGAAGCCTGCTTCTCCCTCTTCCATGCCCCCTGCTTGTGTTCCCTTTCTCGCTGTGTCTCTCTCTGCCAAATAAATAAATAAAATCTTAAAAAAAAAAAAAAAAGAAAGACAATATGATTTGACTTCTGGGCATGAGTCCAAGCCATTTGCTGAAACCTCAGCCATCAGCTTTGCCTCAACCTGTCTCACGCGATGGCATTTGAGACAATGCTCTCATGACCCTTACAAGGCTCAGGGGGGCAGCAGTAATTATAACCAATCTTTCTTTCTATACGTACTTTCTGAATAACGGCACATATCCTATGGATGAGTTAGTAATGTTTAAAAGTAATAGCTCTCCTTTGTTCTAAGCCTTCCCTGCTTTGAAGCTCTTTGATGAATTTGTCTGATAAGATTTTCAATAAAAACCATGTTTAAGCCTGTGCAGCTGCTTTTCTCCTCTGGAGGCAGTCCTGCATGTCTGCTCAGTATTAAGTCTGAGTGTTTTATTTTCAGTGCGTGGCGACACTCAATCCCATCCTCGGCATGTGGCTGGACAGATACCCCCTAGTGGGCCATGACCTCATAGGAAGTATTTTAGGTACCTGAAAAGTAAAAGCATTATAAAGTTTACTGTATAAATTTAAAATAGTTTGATTAAAAGTTACAAAGCATGCATATAAATTTTATTAAAAACTGGAAAGGACAACGGCAGAGTCATGTAAGTAATGAGGATTTCAACTCAAAATAACTATAAAATACAAAATATGTGAAAAATAGAGTAGGTAGGACGAATAACATAATGGATACAATTAGCTATGAATTAAAATGCTGTAAGTTCAGATCAGAGGATGCTTAAAGAATCGAAAAACATTTAAAAAAATACGGGACATGAACATAGAATCTATGAATAAGGAAAATTTAGTGAGACAAATACTTATAAAAGAATAACCCATAACTACTGTACTTTCAGGGATCATTTCTATAGTTTGTCACATTAAAATAAAGTATCACAGAATAAAGAAAGTCTTGCAAGCTGACAATAAGAAAAAAATAGATCACTTTAGAACAACAATGGGACTGAGCCATGAATTTTGATCAAAACCAGTGGATGCAAGTCTAGAAAAATAGCTCTTAAAAATGAAGTGATAAACTTTAATTCAAGATCTTTTTTCTATGTGATGTATTCATAATAAAAATGTCCAAAATGAAACTATTATGCTAAATGAAATAAGTCACAAAAGGACAAACGTATCATTTCTCCTATACGACGTTCCTAGAGTAGTCAAATTCATAGACAATAGAGATACAAAGTAGAATGATGGTTTCTGGGGGTTGGGGGGGAGTGAAGTTGGGAAGAACGTCTTTAATGATACAAAAATACGTTCAGTTGGGGAAGATGAAAAAGTTCTGAAGATGGATGGTGATGTACTTAATAATACATGTGATGGTTGATTTTGTGGGTCTACTAGGCTAGACCATGGCATCCAGATATTTGGTCAGACATTATTCTGGGTGTTTCTTTCAAGTGCTTTTTGAATTAACATTTAAATCAGTAGACTTTGAGTAAAGCAGATTACCCTCCGTAATGAGGGTAGCCTTCATCCACTCAAAAGCATTAATAGAAAAGCAGTAACCTGCATAAACTAGAAGGAATTTTGTCTGCTGACTGCTTTGGACTTGCCCTGAAATTCTTACCTGAGTCTCCAGTCTGCCAGGTTACCCTGAAGATTTTGGACTTGCTAAGCCAACATAATCGTGTCACCCAATACTTTAAAATAAATCTCTCTAGGGGCGCCTGGGTGGCTTGTCGTTAAGCGTCTGCCTTCGGCTCAGGTCATGATCCCAGGGTCCTGGGATCGAGTCCCACATTGGGCTCCCTGCTCTCCGGGAAGCCTGTTTCTCCCTCTCCCACTCCCCCTGCTTGTGTTCCCTCTCTCGCTGTGTCTCTGTCAAAAAATGAATGGAATCTTTAAAAAAAAAAAAAAATCTCTATATACATACATATATGGACAGACATACACTAGTTTGGTTCTGTTTTTCTGGATAATTCTAATATGCAACAGAACCAAATACTTAGAAGTGATTAAAATAGCAAATTTTATATTATTTATTTTTATCACTGTAAAAATGATTAACTATTTAAAACATTTTTTGTTATATTAATAAAATAAAGATTTTATTTATTTATTTGAGAGAAAGAATGAGAGAGAGAGAGAGCACATGAGAGGGGGGAGGGTCAGAGGGAGAAGCAGACCCCCTGCCGAGCAGGGAGCCCGATGTGGGACTCGATCCCGGGACTCCGGGATCATGACCTGAGCCGAAGGCAGTCGCTTAACCAACTGAGCCACCCAGGCGCCCCTAAAACATTTCTAAGAAATTTTATGTCGCAAAAACATACCTTGAAGGCACTAAAAAAAAAAAGTAATCAAGTAAAAAGAGAAAATTCTAGAACAATGCCTTGCTGGACATCTGTGTAGAAGGCAGATGGTTCATCAAGTTTTTTGACAATCACTTCATATGCAGCTGAATTTAAATTCGAGTTACTTAGCTTAAACTTCACTTTCTTACTTTACTCTTTGCTCAGTCACTGTCTACACTTAAAAGTCTTTTTGTTGTTTATACATAATACAGCTCTAATACATAATGCAGTCTTGCTTAGCACATAAAAAATACTCAATATCACTAGTTATTACAGAAATGCAGATTAAAAGACTATGACACACTTATTTTAACTTAAAAAAGACAGACTATACCTATTATTGACAAAGATGTGTTCCAAAGTGGAACTCTTATATGCAGCTGGTAGGAATATAAAATGGCACATTCACATTGGCAATCAATTTGGCCAATTCTTAAAAAGTTAAACATTCATCTATGAGCAACACTCTATTCTCAGGTATTTTCTTATAACAGTGGTTGTTCTGGTAATAGGTCAACACTAGAAACAATCTATGTGTCCATTAATAAACACATTGTGTTATATACACCCAATGGAATACCACTCAGCAATAAAAAGGAATGAACACAATAGGGATAAATCTCAAAATAGCTATGCAAGGATATACTTTAGGATTCCATTTATGTAAAAACAGAATAAATAGCAGCCATGCAAAAGTAGACTGTAGGATTCCAAGTATATATAAAAACTAAAAACATGCAAATTAGTGTAAAATGACATAAATCAACAGACTCTCCCACATTCACTGCACTCATAAGGCATTTCTCTATTGTTGCAAATTTGACAGTGTTTAACGAGGCCAGAGTTTTAAGTAAAGATGTCCCCACACTTGCTGTTTTCATAAGGACTCTCCCATCAGCGTGAACTCTCTGTTGTGTAATGAGACTGGAGTTGTACCACAAAAACTTCCCACATTTGCTGCAGTAATAAGACTGTTCTCTACTGTGATTTGTCTGACGTCTAATGAGCGTGGAGTTGCAACTAAAGGATTTCCTACATTGCTGCATTCATCAGGCCTTTTTCCAGTGTGAGTTCTCTGGTGTCTAATGAGTGTGAAGCGGTACCTAAAGAATTTCCCACATTTGTCACACTCATAAGGCCTTTCTCCAGTGTGAACTCTCTGATGAATAATGAGTGAGGAGCTGTCCATAAAGAATTTCCCACATTCTCTGCACTCATAAGCCCTTACTCCAGTGTGGATTTTCTGGTGCTCAGCAAGTTTATGTTTGCGACTGAAAGCTTTTCCACATTCACTGCACTTATAAGGCCTCTCTCCAGTGTGGATTTTCTGGTGTTCCACAACTTTGTCTTTGCGGCTGAAGGCTTTCCCACATTCACTGCACTCATAAGGCTTTTCACCACTGTGGATTTTCTGATGCTCAACAAGTTTATGTTTGCGGGTGAAAGCTTTTCCACATTCACCGCACTCATACGGCCTTTCGCCAGTGTGAACTCTCTGATGTCTAATGAGTGTAGAGCGATTCCTAAAAAAACTTCCACATTCACTACAGCCATAAGGTCTTTCTCCTGTGTGGATTTTCTGGTGACCAACAAGTTGGGAGAGTCGAAGGAAACCCTTCCCACATTGGTTGCACTCAAAAGGCCTCGGCCTGGTGTGAATACCCTGGTGGTCACTGAGGCCAGGTATCTGTGTAAAGAATCCTCCACGTTCTGGGTTCTCATAAAGCTGATCTTCATCATGGCCCTTCTGGTGCTGATGGAGGTGGGACTTTCTAAGGAAGGCCTTCCCACATTCCCTGTACTCATAAAGCTTTTCTCCAGTGTGGATTTTCTCATGGTCGACAAGTATATGTTTATGACTGCAGGTTTTCCCACACTGGGTGCACTTATAATTCTGTTCATTCTGAAAGGCCTCTCCACCTGCCGTGTCCCAGTGTGGCTTTCCTACAACATGAGGAACCTGTGGTTGGAGAAGGCCTAAGCTGGCTGGGAAGTCCTTCCCACCTTCCCTGCATGTAAAGGTCATCTCTGTCATGTGACCTCTGCAGCTCTTCACAAATGAAGGCCTCCCCTCATCACTTCTGGAAAGTTTCTCTCTAATTTGATGCTTTTGGTGCTGGAAATGCTTTCCCCCACAAGTGTGCAAGCCTCGCTCAGGGTGTGTTCCATCATGCTCAGCCAAGTGCAAAAGGTCTTTCAAGAGCAAGCTACACGTCTCACAGGGCTGGGACTTCTGGATGGATGGGCCTGGCTTTGGGGTCCTGACCTGTGACCCTCCTACAGAAACATCTTGCTCTGAAGGGGCCTCCTCATCCTGGGCTCCATGCCAGCAACCTGTAAGCAGAGAAATGCTGGTAAAGTGCCTGCTGACTTCGTTGGGAGGCGGCGGCCCCATCGGGAATGCGTGCCAGACACACTCACGGAGGAGGCCAGGAGACTGCTGACGGGCGAGGGGTACTCGAGACAGTGAGAGGAAGGCCTGCTGTGCAGAGCTCGGCCTGGCAAGCTCCCGTGACGGGAGAGCCCTGGCTCCGGGGAAGGACCCGAGGAAGGGGGAAGTGCAGGGAGGAGAGACAGTCTCCCAACTCCCTCCTCTGCAAATGACTTTCTTTTTCTTTTCTTTTTTTAAGATTTTATTTATTTATTTGACATAGACACAGTGAGAGAGGGAAGACAAGCAGGGGGTGTGGGAGAGGGAGAAGCAGGCCTCTTGCTGAGCAGGGAGCCCGATGCGGGGCCGATCCCAGGGCCCCCGGACCATGACCTGAGCCGAAGGCAGACGCTCAACGACTGAGCCACCCAGGCGCCCCATGCAAATGACTTTCAACAAGGCAAGAGCTGCTGGTGACCAGTGAGCACTGATGCAAGACTGGGTCCAGACGCAGAAATGTGTGATTGCAACACAGTAGCTGGTGTTCAGAGATTATTTAAAAATATGCCATCACAGGGGCGCCTGGGTGGCTCAGTTGTTGAGCGTCTGCCTTCAGCTCAGGTCATGGTCCCAGGGTCCTGGGATCGAGCCCAACATCAGGCTCCCTGCTCTGCGGGAGTTCCCTCTGTGTTCCCTCTCTCGCTGTGTCTCTCTGTCAGATAAATAAATAAAATATTTTAAAAAATATGCCATTACAATACCTTAGGATAGGTCACATGTCAAGTGTACTGCAAAGGGAGCAAAAGGGAAAGGATGGCAGAGGGAAGCCACGAAGCTGGGGGAGCTGGGGAGTGCAAGACGAAATGATGATGCGAAAGAAGAGGTAGAAATGAAGTATGACCACTGTCCCTGGCATCATACGATGGTGAACCCAGCTCCGACAACAGACCCAGTTCCAGCCCCCGAGCCCCAGGGCCATCTCCTATTGCCACTGATGGAGTAATGTCCACACTGTCAGGCACCCAGGCCGCTCCCACTTCTTCAAGATGAGCAGTCACATGGGACCTGGAATGGGCCAATGTAGGTGAAACACAGGAAAAGAAGTGGCAAGCATGCCCCCAGAGTGATCCCTCTCACAACAGCCCACATTCTCAAACCAGAAGAACTTCAAAGGAGGGTCTTGCAGAACCAGCGGTCTCTACAAATACAGACTAGCTTGGTGGCTGAAATTTCTGGCACAGGTATGCCCCAAGAAATGTCAGCAAGGAGGAAGAAGGCATGGAGCACAGGGGCTGAAGAGAATAACCTGACCAATGGCAAGCAAGACCACTGGGATTTCTCAGACAAACTTGGGAGCAGAAGTGCACTGGGCCCAGACCTGGCTCCCATAAATGTGTGCTAGGAAACCAGAAGGGAAGTAGTGACCGTGATGTGGGTGTGGGAATGACAGTGCTACCCCCTGGGAAAGGGGAAAACCAGCGCCCAGCCCCAGACACTGCAGTAGGTGGGAGGGCCTTACCTAGTGATGACAAAAGTGCAAAGTTCTCCAGCATCACGCTGTGGTACAGGCTTCTCTGAGCCTCATCAAGGAGCCCCCATTCCTCCTGGGAGAAACGTATGGCCACGTCTGTAAAAACCAAAAGCCCCTGCCAAAATGGGGACAGTTCAATCAATGTGCAGCTTCTCTCTCCAGGATCTTCAGTGCGCCCCCCACCCCCACTTCCATCTCCTCCTTGCCCTCCACCCCAACTTCCCCATGTGGAAGAGATACAAGGTCTGGTGGCACTGGTGCCTCTCTCTCGTCACTGCCACTGATCACTGTGTCCAGGACTTGGGAAAACAAGGGGGGGAGGGTGCAGAAAAGCCCCACCTAGGCTCTGGGGCTGCAATGGGGCTCTCTCTCTTTTATCAGTAAATTATGCTGAGGTCCCCCAGATCTTGCCTCCCAGACAACACAACTTGAAATTATCTCTCCCATAAGCACCCCATCCCAGGACTTGGGGTCAAACATTCACACTCCTCCTCGCCTGCACATCGTTCTTGATCTGAACCTCTACAGATCTGGTCCCTCCACTTCTGCAACTCAGTTACTGAGACCCACCAGCCCACTCTATAGGTAATTCCATGGCTTCCCAGCACACCACCGTGCACGTGGAACCCGGGTAGTATTTTGCAAATGGAATCAACAGCCTATTTGGCCCCACCCTGCCCCAGAAACCCAAGTTCCCTAGCACCACAGACCACCGGGGTCCCTTTGTGGTTCTCCCCACCTGGCCCTGCCACCTGTGTCACACTCACCCTCCCAAACCTAACGTCAGTACCTCACGGACCCTTGGTTCTCTGCTACATCACCGCTACACACGGTGTCCTACAAACAGTCACAAACAGTCTGTGTTTACCTCACCCACATTCAAAGCCCAGCTACACTGAACTCCCCACCCCAGGCCTAGCAATGTTCCAGGCTGATCCATTTTAACCTCAACTGATCTACCAGCCTGAAGGAATACGGGTCTGACCCAAGAGTCACCACAAAACACTGATGAGTCCAAAGAAAGATAATGTGCCCTGCTCTGAGCTCACTGACATCTGACTTCCTTCTGGAGATGCTTCAACACCTATCTCATATCCTTGACCCCTTGGAAGCCTTTCAGACTCCTCACCTTCATTCCTCATAAGCACAACCCCCCACCCCCCAAGAGCGACTCTGCTTTCTCATCTGCCTTTGTGACATCCACTACCACCATCCAGGCTCCCAAAAGAGATTCAAATCTCAGCCTCCTTCTTCCCCTTCCCACGTCCACAACCTAATGATGCCCCCTCTGAAAACTGAGGCACGGCGACACTCCAGTCCACATACCGGCCACTATGTTGTGGCTGTCTGCAACCCGAATGCCTCCCCTGAACTCCAGATCTGTGTGTACACCTGCCGACTGGGTACCTCTACTTGGGAGTCTCTGGAACATCTGGACATCAGTGACAAAACCTGACTTCCTATTCCCGCTGAAAAGCCCTCTGACTACTGACTTCCCCATCTCAATTGATAGAACATCCAAACTTCCAGAGAAAGCCAAAAGCCTCGGGGCTGACCCCCTTTCCCGTCACACCTCCTGGCGCCCTCACTCACCACATCACTAAACGTGGGCAACTCTGTGCAGGACGCATCCAGAAAGCACCAGTCCCCCACCTCCACAGCCACCACCTCCTGTCCAGCCGTCAGCAGGACTCACCTGCACTGTCACAGGAGCTCCCTCCCAGGTCACCATTCCCACCTTCGCTCCCACCTCTCTTCCACGCTGCAGCTAGACACAGCCTGTTAAAATCTGGATGTGATCACCTGGCTCCTCTGCTCCAAAACTTCTCCAGCTCCTACTTCTTCAGATCAGAGGCCCACGACCTCAGGTTGTAATTGTGGATCTGATAACTGTGTGCCCCTCCCCCCAATTCCCCCCCCACATTCCCACCATATACAAGAGCCTTGCAGTTCCCTGAACATTCCAACTCACTCTCACCCCCATCACTTGAACATTCTGGAACCTGTGCCCAGGATACCCTTCCACATCTTACCCCATCAGTTGCCAGAAATGGGAAACGCTCCATAGAATCCAGGGCTCAGTTCAAAACCCTGGGCTTTGGTGAAACCACAGGGACTTTAGACCCAAGGGAGGGAGAAGACCAGGTGAACAATCTCAGGACACCATCATTCTTTACATGGGAGTGGCAAAACCATCAGGGTGATAACTGGGGTGGATGAAGGTCTGTCACATCCTCCATTCACCTGAACAGGGTCCATAAGCATTTCTGCAAATGCCATGGGAACCTGTGGGAAGAGGGAGGCCATGAGAAAGGGGCAACCATGGTAGGATCCTACAGACTGAACTGGACCACCACCACCCCTGCCCTGCCCTGGAGCACTGAGATCTCAGCCTGATAACCTGAGCTCTCAGCTCCTCTGACTTCAGTGCTGCTCTTACCTGCTGCGTGACTTTGCAGAAGGACTGAACCTCCTGAGCCTCAATTCCTTTCCTGTAAAATGGGGTTAACAATGGCCCCCACCTCATAGAGCTGATAACAGTATTAAACACAATTAATACACACCACCTGGCAGCCATAACTATCCATGGGATTAACAATTCTGTATGTTGTCAGTGCAAATAAAGGGATAGAGTTTTAAAAATGCGGGTCTGCACTGTTTCTGCTTTTTAAGATTTTCAGAAGATGTGACATATAACATTCTACTGTTAGCAAATACCACAGATAAATTAATTTTGCAATTTTATAAAGTACTGCCATGCTTAATTTATTGAATGAATTAATTTCTAGTTGCCTACCTATATGTACATATTTAGAGGACTACTGGTTGCCCGATGTCTTAATCAATAAATGTTTCATACATCCTGAATTTAATGAATTGTAGGGACAGTCTGAGCAGGCAGCTCAGCTACTCTCCCTTTCAGCAAACAAGCCTACCTGCTACATGATCCCCTGAAGGACGCTTGCAGGACCCCTTTCCTGTAGCACTCCTTCCTTCCTCTTGTCCTCAAGGTGGAGGAGGAGAAGACAATGCCCCTGTCTGGGACCCATCTGCTCCCCAAATCTGGCTACTCCTTTGTCTCACAGGAATTGTCTCTAAGGATCAGCTGACCTGCTGGGCTGAGAGTCTATACATCCATCTCCACCCAGGCCAGCAAACTTACAAATCCAGGCATTCTCTTCTAGACACAGGCCAGAATACCTTCTATGTCAGGTATGCTCCTTTATGAAGGGAGCATTAAGGATGCTGAATCGCCTACACACTCAAAGTCTCAGCCCTCCTGACACCACAGAGCCCATCAGCAGTAACGACCTTAAGACTCCTTCCTTGATCTGGTCCTCAAGCCACGCTCTGGTGCAGTCCACACCCTCCACACCTTTGACAGCCCAGCCCCTTCCCCGTCCTGCAGACCTTCACCTCCACATGCTCATGTCATGTCCCCCCACCGAGATATCTCAGCATCAACACGTCCAAAATCAAACTCATCATCTCCCCGATACCCGCTCCCTGGGCTCGCTTACCCCACCTCCCTCCTTCCAGATGTTCAGGCAAAGAAGCCTTCACACGGCCCTTCACGCCCTACTTTTGCTCACACGTGGATGTGATGCAGCAGGAAATCCTGCCGGCTCTGTCGTGGAACCCTACGCAGAATCTCCTCGCATCTCCCTCTGCCGCCACCGCCCTGGTCCAGCCTCCACCAGAACTCCCCCGCGGGGGCCTGCCGTGTCTCCTCAGCAGGCTCCCCGCCTGCATTCCCCGCCCTGCTCTCCCCCCTACCTTAAACTTCGGACTCTGGGCGTGCCCCCCCATCCCCGCCCCCTGGCGACCTTCCGCGGACCCCGGCTGCCCACGCCGCCACTGCAGGCGACACTCCACCCCGCCCCTCCCTTCCCCGCACACACAAGGGTCCCGGTGCCCCCACCCCTGGTCTCGACTCAGGAGCACCTGCCGGGATCCCCCCCCCCGCCACGCCCCACCGCACGGACGGAGCCGGGACCCCACGCCGGGGCGCCCTCTGCTCCCGCCCCGCGGGCCTGGCTGTGGGCAGCTGAGCGGGCGCCCCTCCATCCGCGCTGCAGAGCTCGGGGCGGGGAGAAGGCGGCTGAGGGCCCGGGGGTCGCAGCACCCACCTGAGCCGGCTTCATCGGCGGGGCCTCCGCCTCCGACCAGTGGGAAGAGCGGTGCGGGGAGCAGCCGGCGACCGAGCGGGGACGAAGGCGCCTCGCAGCCGCCTCTGCGGCGGAGACCACGCCTCTCCCCGCGCTTTCCATGTACTTCAGTCAGGACTTTGGTTCGCATTAAAGGAGAGAACAGTCCCGAGAACGACAGGAGAACCAGACGCTAGAGGGATGCTGCCGGAAGTTCCGCTCCCGTGCGAGACGCACGCACGAAAACCGCTCTCGGGTAAGCCTGGCCGGCTGGGCTGTCCCCGCCGCTGCGGCCGCACGGCCCTCTGGGTAATGTAGTTTCCGCGCCATCACTGCGCAGACCCAGAACGTAGGTCGTCCGGGACAGAGGATAAAGGCCAAATTATGAGGAGCTCTGGGAAATGGAGTTCCGGGTTCTAAAGGGGGCGGGGCCTTGCTGGTTCTTAAAGGGGCGATAGGTAGCTTTCCTCCTAGTGCAGCGTAGAACAAGTCACAGAAACGTTCAAAGACCTGTTGTTTCTGATTCCGTGAATCGCAGCACGCTTCCAAAAGCCTGCACATAGCCAGGGACACAGCATACAGTAATGTACTCGCCGTCCCCTCATAGTTCTCAGCTATCTGTTGCTTGCCAAAGATGTGTACACTGACCCTTTGGAGTCCTTTTTATGGGCTTCAATAGTTTCAATAAGAAAAGCCTCCAGGGGTGCCTGGGTGGCTCAGTCGGTTAAGTGTGGGGCTCTTCATTTCAGTTCAGGTCTTGATCTCAGGGTCGTGAGATCTAGCCTTGCCTCGGGATCCATGCTCAGCGTGCAGAGTCAGCTTGAGATTCTCTCCCTCTACCCCCAAATAGATAGATAAAATAAAATAAAATAAAAATAAGATAAAATAAAAAGGAGGGAGGGGGAGGGGAGGAAGGAAGGAAGGAATGGAGGGAAAGGAAGGAACGGAAGGGCCTCCAGACAGGGCTGTGATGGGGAACTTGAAGGAGGGGTGTAAGGAGGCCTTGAAGGAGTTAGAAAGGGTGAGGATGCGCCTCTGATCCCCACAGAAAACATTTTCCCCATCTGTATGGTCAGTAATGGTGTTCCAACCTAGAGAACAATACTTTTATTCACATAGTATTTATTACTGTATATCTGAGGTATGTTCCGTTTCTTTTAAGAATCTGAAACCTATCTGAAAAAAGGACTTATCACGTGCCATCTTCTACCTGAACAGTGTATGCCTTCCACACGATTTGGCCGTGTGTGCAAAGGACATCTTATCCCTGGGATAAAGAATTGAGTATCCATAATCTCATCTCTTTGCTGGTTAGTGATTATCATTTCATCTGTAATTGCAGCAACAGTGAATGCACAGAGAGTTGAGATTATCTCTGGAAAAACACTTGGAGATTGATATTACTGAATGCTATTAAAAATGTTTTTCAAGAAAAGTGGCAAAAATAGTTCTAGAGAAATATATGTGTGACAAGTGGGGCGAAAAGTTAAGATCTCAGTGAAGTCTGAGTGAGAGACACCGAGTCTAAGAAGTCAGAGAATGAAGCTGAGACCAGCTTGCTGAAACCTTGGCTTCATTCATGGTTGGTCCCAAAATGTGATTATTATACAAGACACCCTATTTAATAATACCTAAAAACATTGTGCAGTAACAGCCTGTAGGGAGAGGAAAACACAATATTTACAGAGTTGCCAGAAAGATAAAAAGGAATAGGGACGTTGTACTATTGTGTCTTTACTGATCTGTGAATGTTCTTTACTGATCTGTGAATGTTCAATGAGCACTTACAGAAATTAGAATAATAGTCTCTTTAGCTGAACTACAGCACATGGCAGTACATTTTGAAAGGGCTTCAGAATAAAAACAAGACAGGACCCAATGTAAATTGTGTCCCTGCAGGTCTAACAGATAATAGCCCATTTCCCAATCAACCACTTATTGACAAAGACACTTGTAGATACTGTACATAGAAGGAACACTGGAGGGGCGCCTGGGTGGCTCAGTCGGTTCAGCGGCTGCCTTCGGCTCGGGTCATGATCCTGGGATCCTGGGATCGAGCCCCGCGTCAGGCTCCCTGCTCAGCGGAGAGCCTGCTTCTCCCTCTCTGCCTGCCTCTCTGCCTACTTGTGCTCTCTATCTCTCTGTCAAATAAATAAAAAAATAATAAAAAAAAAAAAGAAGGAACACTGGAAAAAGGATTGTCCCATCCTATGAAACAAAAACTAAGACAAAGAAAACACCTCAAGTCAGATCAATGAGGGTGCTCTGAGGAAGGAAAAAGTGCCTAATAACCAAGATGAATTAACCGATGGTCATCCTCATCAATTCCTGATAGAGTGGGTTACTCTTCCTACATTAAAAACTGACAGCTTTGTTCAGTCTCTTCCTCCGAATGTAACATATTTAAAATAACAAATAGATGATCTCCATTTCAAGCCTTAATTATAACACTTGGGCCCTTGACTGAAACATTAAAAGCATTCCTCCTGCTCTGTGATGCCAGCCCTGCAAATTTAATAGGGATTTATTAAACTACATACTACCAAATATCCTATGAGTAAATGGAGAAACTACAAGGGAAATTTTTAAAGTGTAAGTATTTTGAGCTTGATAAAAGTAAAAATGCTACATATAAAAATCAATGTGACACAATTAAACTAAATGATTAGAGGTAAATGTATAGCTTTAAACAGCTTATTACAAAAGAAGATGTAAATAACCTAAACTTTTATGTTAAAAAAAAAAAAGAAAATGAGACCAAACTAATCCCAAACTAAGGATAAGAAAGAAAATAATAAAGATTAGAGAAAAAAAAAGCTTACTGAAATTAGAAAACAGAAACACACACGCACACACAAAACCCTGATACAACTAAACCACACAAAAACCCTATAAGAAAAACAATTACAGGCCAATATTCCGGATGATCACACATGCAAAAGACCTCAAAAGAATATTAGGAAACTGAATTCAACAATACATTAAGAGGATCATACACCATGATCAAATGGGATTTATTCCAGGGATGCAAGGATGGTTCAACATCAGCAAATCAATCAACATGATACACCACATTAACAAAATGAGGGATAAAAATCATATGATCATCTCACTAGGTGCAGAAAAAGCATT